GTAATGTATTTGGTAATTTGATTTTTTTAAAAGAAGAGGAAAATTTTGGTGTATTCAACTTTTTGGGAAGAGAAAGAAGAGGGAAATTTGGTTCTTTGAATTTTTTAAAAAAGAAACAAGTGGGAATTTTGGTGGTTTTGATTTGTGGTAAAAGAAACAAGCGGGCAAGTTTGGTTCTTTTGATTATTAAAGAGAAATAAGGAGGGAAATTTTGAGCTTTTAACTTTTTGTGGAAGGAAGAGGAAAATTTGGTTCTTTCAATTTTATGGAAGAGAAAGAGGAGGGAAAATCGAGTGTTCTAATTTATGAAAGGAGAAATAAGGAGGGAAATTTTAGTATTTTTTATGAAAAGAAAGAAGGAAACAAATTTGGTGTTTTCAATTTTTTGGTGTTTTCAAAGTTTTAGCTTTTGAAATATGAATCTTTAATTTTTATATGGAAGGCACGACTAGTTAAATTTATTCTTATATGCTTTGAAATGAAGGCTAATATATACGTGTATGTAATTGTTTATGGGCTAATAAATAAATTAACCATTAGTTACAACAATTATACTAAACTTGATAAATAATCTTTGACGGTTCTTTGTTTAGGATATAAAGTCTATGGTTAGGGTATAGGGTATATGGTACAGATGGTTTAGGGTGTAAATGGTTAGGGTATAAGATATGGTTTTGACGGTTCTAAGTTTTTTATTAACATATGTTCACTTAAAGATGTTAATGGTACGTGGTTAGGTTTCAAGGTATGTGGTGTAGAGTATAAGATATATGGTTAGGGTATAACAATTAACAAATATCATTTTTTATCTATGTTTTGAAAATCAAAGTATGAATTTCACTTTTAAATTAACTATACTAGCAAAATCACAACTCATAAGGAATAAGGACATATGGTTAGGGTATAGGGTATATGGTATGTGGTTAGTGTATAATGTATTGATGGTTTAGGGTATACAATCAACAACATATACTAACTCAATACTGTCGATTGAGGATAAGGCTACGTGTATAGGATATATGTTATTGAGTAAGTTATGATTGAAGTCACAATAATTTTACTAAATTTGATACACGACAAAGAAAATTGTTTTTTAGACACAGGATCTTATTCACGGGAAGTTTTCCTATATAAGAAGTATGCTAATTGTCACGGGAACAATTATTATATTTGATTGTATAATTCTAAAGAAGGGAATGAATTTTCGAATTTTTGAATCTTCATTTCCTGTGACTAATTGTTAGTCACGGTTAATTACTGTGAACAATGTAACAATTTAGCTTTATAAATTTAACTAAAAATAAAGAAGGATTTAAAAAATTTTAATGTCTGTAGGGGTTTTAAACACCTCTCTCGTTTTGGCTCTACCATTACACCAAAATGGAAAACTCCCCCGCCTTCATTCACAAATTTTTTTGACTTCCCCCCATTATTTCCCCCGAAAATTTTGACCAAATTTTCGCCTTACCCGCCTGTTTTACAACGAAGACTAAAACAGTAAAACAAGAACAAACCCTTAGATAGAAACTAAAATCTCTCGCTCTTTGTGTTATACTAAATGCAAAATATTTTCATGGTTATACTAAATGAGATACTTTAATCCAATTATTACTGAATTAATATTAAAATATCAAATAAACAATTAATGGTGTCTTTTGGTTGCAAATATTGATATCACCATTACTATTAGTTAGTGTACTTTACCAATTATGATTAATTGCATAACAAGTTTGCAAGTCATACAAATTGATTTAACATTTTGACTTATTTTTTCAAAAAAATTAAGTATATATATATATATATATATATACGAGGTAGAAATAAATTGGTTAAAAAGTTGAGAAAAATATTTTAAATTAGTGTAATAAAATGTGTAAGTTGGTAACGAGTAATGAGTAAGTTATTCGATGCGCTGGCCCGAACACCTGAAACCTGATCCGCCCGCAACCCGCCCGACCCAAAACCCGGTGAACCCGCAACTCGATTTGCCCGCAACCCGGTACCCGAACCCGATGAACCCGCAACTCGACTAACCCGGAACCCGTTTGAACCCAAACTCAATAAACCCGCAACCCGTTTGAACCCAAACTCAATAAACCCGCAACCCGTTTGAACCCGAATCCGATTGAACCCAACCCGAACCCACTCGATTGACACTTATACCTACAGGGATGCCAAGAAAAACACATTTTCTAGCTCTAGGATCAAATTTATGCTTGTGACCCTCAACCACTGTGGCATAGCCAAACAACAAAGACCCTTAATGACATATAATCTGGTGGTACCTGATGCAAAACTTCAAAGGGGGTTTTATGATTAAGGACTGGAGTAGGGGTTCTATTAATCAAATAGGCAGCATGAAGAACAAAGTTTTCCCAATAAAGAAGTGGAAGGCCAAATTGAATTTGAGAGATCTGGCCACATTTAGAAGATGCTAATATTTCCTCTCTACTCTACCATTTTGCTGAGTTGTGTAAACGCAGCTCATTTCATGAATTATTCCCTTAGAACTATAAAATTTTATCATATGGAATTCTTGACCTTGGTCAGATTAAATGGTTTTAACAAGTTTAGAAAATTGTGTTTCAATCATTTGACAGAAAGATTGCAAAAGGCTTTTGGATTCAGATTTGGATTTCATGAGGAATACCCAAATCGCTCTACTATGATCATCTACAATGGTTAAAAAGTACTGAAAACCACTTCTTGAAATTACATTTAATGGACCCCAAATATCCACATGTAATAGATCAAAAGGTTCAGAACTGACAGAAGTGCTAAGAGGGAAATGTAGCCTCTTTTGTTTGGCAAAATGAAAAACCTTTTTTGTTTGGCAAAATGACAAACCTCTTTTGTTTAGTCAAAGGTAAAAACAACTTCATTACATTGATTCTTAACATCTCTCAATCTAGACAAGGAAGGGTGACCTAATCTAGCATGCCATATGTTGAAGTCTGAACTGCGGAATGGGAAACTCCTGCTGCAAAAGGCTGAGCAACTCTACTAGAATTAAACTCTTGACTCTTTGATTGGGAAAACAGATACAATCCTCTATCCACTTGGGCCAAACCAATCCTCCTCCGAGTAATAAGGTCTTGGATAACACAAAAGTTTGATTTGAAAATCAATGAGACTGGACAATTTTTAGTTAACTTACTTAGACAAACCAAATTGTAAGTAAAGGCTGGAACAAACAGAACTTGAGTAAGGAATAATCCACAAGGCAAAGACCCTATTCCTATGTGAGTGGCTTTAACATGTTGCTTGTTAGGGAGATTCACAAAGACATTGTCAAGTGGTTTACTTTTGATAAAGAAACCAAGACCGCAAACAATAATGGGGTCTGTTGCTCCAGTATCAAGCAACCATTCAGATCTATGAAGTGAAATGGGAGGGAGTTCTGACAACTGAATTAGAACTTGCAGCGAAATGGGAGGGAGTTCTGAAAACTGAATTTGCTGAATCATCATGCGTGTGTGATTGACCAAGAACTCTTCCTGGTGCAGCAGGTGGAAAATGAGGTGAGCTAGGAGGTGAAGGTGAGGGTGAAGGAGACCTGGTCAACATAATTCTCAGTTTTTCAAAATGATCTGGAGTCAGAAGATTATGAAGATTGACATCACTTCCAGCTGAAGAAGAACCCCTAGATTCAGATAAATTGCTATCACAAGCACCAGCAAAAGGATGCTCTCCTTCTTGCTTCCTTTTGTTCTTAAGTCTGTAGCAATCAACAATTATGTGACCTTCCTTCTTGCAATACCTACACCACTTTTCACCTTCAGGTGTATAATCCCTAGGATTCTTTCCAAATTGTGCAGTTCTGCCCTGATATTGTCCACTAGCTAGTAAAGCCACTGAATCAACTCTGCCCTTTGCAGAACTCACACCCTTCATTTGACGTTCTAACTGAACCATTTGCTTGAAAACAGACTCAATACTTGGTAATTGAGCATTCATTAAGACTTGAGTTCTAGCTGATTGATAAGCATCATTCAGTCCTTGCATGAACTTGATAATTAAATCATGTTCTTCATACTTTTGGATAGTGAAAAATGGACTATTGGGACATGGACAACAGGAAATGGGCCTATACATCTTGTACTCTTGTCACTTAGTGGTCAAGGCTATGTAGTATTGTGTAACAAAGTGGTCACCCTGAACACACTTAGCTTGGCTGAAATGATCTTTAAAGCTATCCCAAACATCCTTAGAAACCTTAAAGGCTACTACACTGTTAGCTATATCTTCAGAAAGAGAGTTGTAAATCCAACTACGCATAGTACCATCACATCTAAGCCACAATTGATAGATCGGATCTCCAACAGAAGGCACAGGAATCATACCATTAACGAATTGAAGCTTGTTCCTGGTGCTAAGAGCAACCTCCATCACTTGACTCCACATATTGTAGTTCTTATCAGTTAACTTCATAGAAATGATTGTTGTCAAACCACCATCGTGTGAAGGCAATTAATATGGATTCAGATATGGATCCTCATAATGACCAATGGGTTGAGCTGGAAACCCTTGTAGCTTATGTGCGGCACCAATGGGTTGAGCTGGAAATCCTTGCATCCATTGCGCGACTCCAATGGGTGTACATGCAGAAGGTTGTGAAGGTATTTGATTTGGGTTTTGAGTATTGCCGTGTGCTGAGGCTAGCGATTCTGTGTCATCAGTAATATGACCATCAACTCCAGCTACAAGTCCTGACATGGCGAGAAGAATTCACCACAAAGCGGCTAGGGTTTGTGAAGAGGATGGCGATGAGATCTATAGAGACCTGTAACCAGGCTCTGATACCATGAGATGAAATGAAAAATAGGGTTTTTGGGGAAGGGATCTCTAAGTGAGAGAGCCTTTGTTTTCTGCTTTGCTATTTATACTTCCAAAACCATTTACAAAGTAAAATAAAGTTAACGGCTAATCTACAGTATAAACAAAAAACTAACAATTAATCTAACCAACCAAAGCTATACACGTGTTGGTCTAATGACTATTTACTCTATCAAAGTGGAACACAACATTCTGAATCGTAAGACAAAGTCCACTATTGACTTCGAATGGATGGAGAACGACGACGTTCCAGGAATTGTTCTTGGCAGAGTATAATCAGCAGCAGCTTCATCACATTCTTGGAATACTGAAGAATGAGTTGCTACTAGCCATTGTCTGGGATTGATCTGTTCTTCATTACGCCATCGCCTGTCAGATCCACCCAAGGAGATCCGACCTCCATTCAGTGGTCGCTGCATCTCCCGCCGACACACCATTGATCGCTGCCTCTACCCTACAGTGATGGTCTGGGTCTGTACGACTATGCGACGCCGAACTCGAGATCCACCATTGGCAGTCCTATGAGTGCGGCAGGTCAAACCCGACCAACCAGGAAATGACCAAACCCGCATGGGGTATGGGGATGGGTAGTGATTTAGTATCCATATCTTATTCCGGACGGGGACGGGTAAAACCCGTTTGTATGTGCGGGCGGGGATCGTGGAGCCACTACCCGTACCCATATCCACCCGTTGCCATGCCTAAAAGGATCCTCCCCACACGTCATTTTTTCAAAAGGTATGTTGTTCTTTAGATATGCTCACCTAAACCAAACTAGATAATCCTTCACTCCTATGATTGGTATGCCACATAGAAATTGTTAGAATATTTGATTTCTATAAGTTTCCACTACCACCTCTCTCTTTCAACAACATACCTTCATATCCATTTCGCCAAAGCGCCTTATTGAAAGTTGTCATATCCATGATGCCAAGCCAGTAAGCACCTTTCCTCTTTGAAACTTTACAGATACCCCAACTCACAAGGTGAGGTTCCCGAGCATTAGCAACCACACTCAAGATATTATTTGAGAATTATCCGCATATAATAATAGTTCTTACTCTCGAACCATAAGTTTATATTAACTTCCTTTACGTATTGTAACAATTTCTAAGTATATCATTTTACAACCAAACATAACCTGAAAAGATCTTCAACATAGTAACGATTATTTTATTAAAAAAATAAGGGCTAATACCACTAAAACACCCTAACTATAAAATAATGTCACTTGTGTCCTTTATTATTCTATAGTTCAAGATAGAAATGAAATAGGCCTTTTTTGGATAGTTTGGGTGTTGTAGTGATATAAGCCAAAAATAATCAAAAAGTATTATTGAAAAATAATTGGAAAGTATATTAGAAAATAATTGTAAAATATTGAGTTTATGAAGTCAAATTAGAGAAGGGTTAGTATTGGGTTAATGAAAAAGTGGTGAGTTAGGATTGAAAAATAGTGGAGAAAATGCACTGTTTAGAAAACTGGCCCGGGTCGGCCGGATGTATCATTAAAACTCGTAGTCAACCACCAACCCAATTCAAAATACTCATGTAACCTCCCGTAACGACCCGATCGTTCAGAAATCGGTTCTAACGATTAGCCACTCAACCCAAATGAACTGGTCGACCAGTTCAAAGCTTCTACCCACCTTCATATCTATATTTGTATATAACTGTATGGATACGACTCGTATGCTCCTGACACATAGCATGTGTCAGGCTTCTAGACCATTGATTTAATCTGACGGTGTATGTTACCTACAATAAAATTATTTATTTACTAATAATTATAATTACTAACACCACCATTTAAATAATTGTACGTGCAATATAATCCCTCAATAATGTTTATTACTACATTTTCTATTATAATACCTTATTTCTTAGAGACTTATTATTCAACCCAAAAAATATATATAATTCACCATTGTTTGTCCATTAAATTTATGAAGATGGATCGATCATTAACCCAGAAAACAATCAAGCAAACGTCCTCATCAACATGATACGGACCCCTTTATGAAAGGCTATCATCATCAATAGAAACCATCTCCACATAATAACATAATCAGTTCATCACTCCACGCTACCCTAATTTCACCATCGTCATCAAGGAACCCAACTACCCCTAATTACTCCGTCATCACCAAGGGAATTAATTTGACTCGAGTAATTAATGAATCAAAGATTCATCTATCGCTCTAGCAGCAGGTCCATAGAGCGGCACCCGAGCTCCGGTGGAGAGGGATTCAGTTGGTCAAGATTTTCGAGCATAGGGTGCAATTCGACGGAGGCGGCGGTGGGGTTTAATGGGTTTGACTGGAGAGGGAAGAGCTTATTCCGTCCATTATTCGATAGCTATCAGGGATGGGGGTTTCGGTGGGATGTGGGTCTATACGGAACGCGGGGTTGCTGGAGAAGAGACGGCGGTGGGATTATAATGCCTTTGCCGATATGATTGGGATGGTGAAGTTGAGTTGCCGGACAAGAGAAATAGTGGTGGGATTACGGTGGTGGCGGTGGCAACTAGGAGCAATGAAGAGAGGAGCGCGCGTCTCGTCGGCCGGATTCTCGTTGCCGGAATTGAGAATCGAAACGGCGAAATTGCAGTCTGCAGAGGGAGATAATGGGGAAGAAGAGGAGTGACGACGAGCCTTTTTGTGTTCCAGGTTAAATAATAAAAAACGATGTCATTGAAAAGAATAAAGCAGTGGCGGAGCTATGAGCCTATGACATGGAAGGGGTTGGGCTGGGGAAAATAAACGAGCAAGAGGATGTGGAGTTGTTACGATAATCACAGTAAGAGAGGAGAGGGTTCGTCACTACCCGATGAACGACAAAAGGGACAGGGGATGGAGTTGTTACTAGGGCTCTGAGATTACATCTACCAACAAAGGAAAAAATTAAAATTAAGTAGTTTGATGAAGATACAATTATAAAAAAGGGGTGTTCAAGTGATGATTAGAAGATTATTAGGTACGAGACTTTGAAATTATATGAAAAAATTTGTTTATGGATTAATGAGTACGTATAAAAAAGTAATTGAACCAATTAATTATTTATACATGGTAATAAATAAATAATTTAATCAAAATTAATTAACACTGTTAGATTAGATCAACACTATGTAGGACCTGACATATATACGAGTCTGACCCATAACTAAATATATATATATATATATATATATATATATATATATATATATATATATATATATATAGTGCATTCTACCGTACCCCGGGTGAAATCCGGGGTACCGCATACATTGAGTATGAAAATGCCATCTAGACCTCGAATTAGCAGGATTTTTGGGCATGATACTATACCCTAACACTTAATGAGTGAACCCTAGGTCCTAATTATCTGAATCATAAACTATAAACTCTAAGATGGTGCCTTCATTTTTTTGCCTATATTTGGACGAATCATAACCGTCGATTATTATTTCTAATTAAATTGATCTTGGGGTATAAGATTTAGAGAATTAAGACCTAGATTTTGATCTTTAAGGGTTAGAGTATAGTATCATGTCCGAAAGATCAGTCAATTCAAGTTCTGGATAGTGTTTTCTTACTCAAGGTATGCGGCACCCCGGATTTCACCTGGTGTACGTCAGGCGTATAGTATACAACAAGTGATCTAACCGTTAGATGTATCTATATCTATCTATCTATACTAAATATTATGACAATTTAAAAGTAACTTCTTGCCAAATAAGCACTAGCTGAATTCACAAATTGCCAAGATATTGAGTTATCTATTATGCAATAATCTATTTTTTCTAATATTTCATATTCTTTTATCCAATACGTTATTTTTTATTACTTGTACATCATATCAATGTACAACAGTAGAACAAATGTTTGGATAGTGACATATATCACATATTTGTAAATAAATTAATATCTAAATAAACCGTACCAAGTAAAATTTCTACTCATTTGTACTAAAATCTAATAAGAATTTAAATTTTTATGAAAAATTTAAACAGACACACACATAAATAATACTCTTTTTGTCAATTAATCATTATATACATATAAAAACTTAATAATAAGTTATATATTGATAAAACAAATTAAACAAGCACACACATAAATAATAATATTTTTTTTGTTAAACAAAATATAATGATAGAAAGAGAGAAAAATAAATGTTTGAAAATCAATCAATATTGAAAATAAAGTATATTACTTTACATGTTTTATCTAACACTCTTTTCTTCCTGATATGTACGTCAATTAAATTAAACAAGATAATACATAGCAAAATATGTGAATATAAACTTGACTGAGCAATAATAGATATTTCTTAAAAAAAATTATTTATTCCGATTAAGTGAAAACTTATATTCATATTTTACATTAAATTTCTAAAATGAAGACGATAATTTTTTTTATTCGTTCCACTTAAGTGAAACATATATTCATGGTCACAGTTAATTCCTCAAATGAAAAGTTATCACATGTGCAATAATTTATAATGTGTGCTAAGTTAACATTAATACTATTTGCTCTAGATCATATTGATTGAGCAAGCTCTATCAAAGTACTAATTCGTATGCTAAGAATTCTTTTTTCATACTTGGAGTTATTGTCGAGGATTAGAAATTGAATATTTTCTTTTTTCTTATATCCTATAATTCCTTTATTTTTTTGCAGTATGTAAGTGTAGCAACAATAAAATATTTTTTGGAAAATGACATAAAATCAACATACACATAAGTAATAATATTTGTGTTAGTAAACAAAAAATAACGAAAGAATGAGAGAAAACAACTGAACTAAACATATAAAGTGTTATGAAAATAACTAAACTAACTACAACAATAGAATACTTTTTGGAAAGTGACATAAAATCAACACACACATAAGTAATAATATTTGTGTTAATAAACAAAAAATAACGAAAGAATGAGAGAAAACAGCTAAACTAAACATATCAAGTGTTATGAAAACAACTAAACTAAACATATCCTATAATTCCTTTTGTTAGGACTTACTTTAAAGTGGATTTTTTCCACTAGGACTTGTTAGCCAACTTTACCAAACACACATAAACTGTTATGAAAACAACTAAACTAACTACAACAACTAACACGATATTCAAAATCACATACTCCTGGTACCACTTGATGTTGAAGTTTATGCCAAAAATTCTTGAATAATCAAGTTTAGTCCATCAGCAAACTTATTATAATAGTTATGATTGCCCGCTCTTTAACCATTTGTTGTTTCTTTTTTGTTAAAGTAATTTCTCTATCTTCGATGTTCTTGATACCCTACATCCAAAAAAATAATAGACTTAGTAAACCATTAGTAAGTATAGTACACATAATAATTCTCTGATTACCTAATAGCCCCTCTGCATACACATGGTTGCAGGGTTTCTAATTTGGAATTTGACAAATGCTTGAGGGACACCAATCCTCCTGTCTATTGAGGTAAGTTTGGTTTAGGTATCTTTGTTGGTTGTTCACAACACTTGTGACCTGATATTGAAAAATTAGTAGTTGGAAAAGAACATAGAAAGCACATTACCTTCCAAATATGTATGGTTTTTTACTTAAACCGCGTTCTTCCAAATATCGATTAGGCTAGTTTCCCCTTTTCTTAGGACTTATGTTAAATAGTTTTTTTTTTCCTTTTTACACGTTTTTTTGCAGTATATTAGACAAGTTTCTCATTTCGCAATTCATAACTGATTATATTAGTGTGCATATGTTCTAGGGTTATTCATTGAATGCTCCAATTTAAGATTAATGACTAATTAAATATTACTTAGTTGCAAGTTTTAAATATCACTACTTATTACTTAGTGTATGATTTTGTTACGACTTTGAGAAATTGATATATTGACATCTAAAATACTAAATAACGACCAAAATCAATCTCAATATAAAATATTTTGATATGATATCAATATATACCAAATACTACATTAATTAATGTCATAAATAAAAAAATAATATATAAACAATAATAAGGTGATTCAAAGTGAACATTAAATATTGGAAAAGTTTTTATTTGTGCATATAAATAGTAGAGAATTATATACAATGAATTTAAAGAGTATGGTAGGGTGTGAGAGGGTGCATCATAGGACTTGTTAAAACTTACCTTAAAATTTATTTTCCTCAACTCAAGTTTTTCTAGCTGTCTAGTAGACTAGTTTCCCTCTTTGCTATGACTTACCTTAAAGGGTTTTTTTCCTACTCCTACGTATGTTTTTTCCCTTTAACCCACATTTTCAATTGTCGATTAGGCAAGTTTCTCCTTTCGCTAGAACTTACATTAAACATTTTTTTCTTCTCTCGCAATTTTTATGTTGTAGATTTAGGCACCTTTCCTCTTTCTCAATTCATAAAGGGCTGTATTAATTAGTGTGCATATGTTTTATAGTTGTTTACGAAATTCTCAAGTTCAAGATTCATGACTAATTTTAAGTTACTTAGTTGCAAGTTTTATATGTCCCTACACATTAATTTGCGTATAGAGTTTGTTATAACTAGTCTCTCAAATGCCAAGTTACGACCAACATCAATCTCAATCCAAAATGTTTCGATATGGTTAGCATATATCAATTATTGAAATAAATAATGCTATATTACAAACAATAATAAGGTGGTTCGAATTGAAAATAAAATATTGGAAACTTTCTATTTGTGTATATAAATAGTGGAGTATTATGTACAATGGACTAAACTTATACTTCAATAATATTAAATCACTCATAAATCATTAAATCTCAATTTAGTTTTGCTATAATCATTCATCAATATAACTAATTAATTCATTCTTCCATAATATTTCATCGTGAGCATAAATATACTAGCAATAAGAATCAGCCATTTATTACAATCATATGTACACTGGACTAAACTAATGCTTCAATATTATTAAATCACTCAGTTCTCTAAATCTCAATTTAGTTTCAATATAATTATTCATCAATACAACTAAGCAATTCATTCTTCTAAGATATTTCATCATGAGCATAAACACAAGTCAATAAGAATTAGTCATTTCTTACAATCACATAATTAATTACAAAATTTGGTTTAAGGGGGAACCATGGCCTTTTTTACTTGACAGGGGATTGGGCCTCACTAAGTTAAGATAAGATTCACTGTATCATGTTAAAATTTTTGGTATTGCTCGATATCTTGATATATATCAATTCCAATCGCATCTCTCGAATATCAAATACTACTAAAATCAATCTTAATCACAAACCCAAAAAGTTAACTCGGTAATTGATAATACCAAATAATGATGAATTTTGTGTATCCCAAATACTCATACCACACTTCCACTTCTAGCTACGAACAGTATTATGGATATTGCAATTCTTGGGGTTGGTCAGTGACTTTCCAAGAAATGGTTAATTACTAATCAACTTAAATCACTACTCATTAGCTAGGGAGAAAACTAATATGTACATGAACATGAATACATGGAATAACTATGTATGTTCATTCTTTAATGAGATTTACTATGCCCGGTAACTTTCGATTAACCTTACCAACCACTATCCACGTAACATGCTAATGAATTAAAGTAGCTAAATTAACCTGACCACTATTCGCACGACCTCACGAGATACTTTATTATAGACTTTGTTATGGACAAAACAAATTATGG